GCACCAGGTCCAGGCTGGTTCTCTCCAGCACATCCACCAGCTTCTCCAGCCGCGTGCGGGGCGTGAAGATGAAGTCGTCGTCCACCCACAGCACGTACTTGGTCGTCACCTGCGACACCGCCAGGTTCCTCCCGGCGAACCAGCCCTGCGGCGGGGGCAGCGCGGACCCTCGGCCACCGCACCCATGGGTGCCCCCGGGTGCCTGCCCCCATGGCCCCCAGAGAGCCCCGTGCCCCCCAGCCCCGGGCACCGGCGGCTCTTCCGGGCCCCGTGTCCCCTTCTCTGGGAACCACAGCCCTGGCAGACCCCCTGAGCCCCCCGTGCCCCCCGAGCCCCCCTCTAGGGTCCTTGTCACCCCCCGTGTCCCTGCCCATGGCTCTGCCACCCCCATGTCCCCTGTCTGGTGTCCCTGCCACCCCCGTGTCCCCTGCCTGGGGTCCGTGCCATCCCCCGTGTCCCCTGCCCGGGGTCTGTGCCAGCACCATGCCCCTTCTCTGGGGTCCCCACCACCCCATGCCCCCTGCCCGGGGTCTGTGCCATCCCCTGTGTCCTCTGCCTGAGGTCCCTGTCTGGGGTCCCTGCCACTCCCGTGTCCCCTGCCCGGGTCCGTGCCACCACCTGTATCCCCTCTCTGGGGTCCCTGCCACCCTCCGTGTCCCTGCCTGTGGCTCTGCCACCCCCCGTGTCCCTGTCCGGGGTCCGTGCCAGCACCGTGTCCCTTCTCTGGGGTCTGTGCCAGCACCGTGTCCCTGCCCGGGGTCCCTGCCAGCATCGTGTCCCCTCTCTGGGGTCCCTGCCACCCCCGTGTCCCTGCCCGTGTCCCCGCCACCCCGGTGCCCACCTTGCCGAAGGGCATGAGGTAGTGCTCCAGGTGGGGCCCCGCCAGCGGCTCGGGGCGCTGGCTGTCGTCGGCCACCACGATGGTGACGGAGGGGTAGAAGCGGCGGATGCTGGCGATCAGCGCCCGCAGCTTGTCGTAGCGCAGGAACGTCTTGGTGGCCACGGTCACCAGCGCCGAGATGTTGTACCCTGGGGGGACGGGGGGCACTGGGAGTGCTGGGAGCGCGGGG